TAAACTCTCACCATTTGAAATACTAATGGGCAGGCCTTTTCCAACCCCATGGTTTAAAGGCCGAGCAGGCATTACTTCCTTAGGTGACCTGGAGGTGATACAGGAGGACTACGTAACTTCCCTCATTGAGAAGGTTATATTACCTCACGTGTAAAGAATCAATAAACCCTATAATCACATTTTTTCCCCACAAGCAGCTGCAATAAATAAATACTGCCCTTACCTCTTGTGATGGATGGGAAGTGTAATAGAAGTTCCAAGCTTCTCAGAACGTTGTCCTGATCAGCTCAGCGGAGGTTCTGACCTCTATGGGACTCGTATGGAGATTTATGCATAAATCTAGATAATAGGTTACTCTTAATAAATTACTGGATTATACCACACTGGATTATATAGGAGAAGGCGTGTACAATATTTATCCTCTGCAAAGCATTCACTAAATCTTCCCTATTGGTTATATGCAAGTTACATTTAACATTTGGTCACACCCCTCTCTTCAGCGGGTCGTAATACCATTACATAATATCAAGCCGAGTATACACACGCACACCTCCAAAAATATATACGAGGAGGTTCAATCTAAGTTATATTTTCTAAACACTAACACAGGATGTCTGACCTTTTGTCCTAACCGCACCTAAATATTTTCCTATTACACAATAGCAACACCTTCCAAAAAAACGTAAACATTTCAGCATTTTCCATTCAACAGTTGTTAACCAAGATAGCAACACCTGCCTTCGCTCTGACAGGATGTCAGTTAACTGTTTATTTCTGTTTATTCTTTGGAGGCGGTGCTGACTCTGAAGTTTCAAACAGTCAACCTCGCCTCTCAAAGATTCCATTTTCAAATTAAAATCATTAACTTCAATAAATTGTTTAACCCTTTTCATTAACCGTTTATTCACACGTTCATGTTGACGAATTCTCAGAAGGAGATCCTTAGCCATGGAGATGAGTTCCCCTGTCTTCTGTCTCAGTCTTCTCCTTTTTCTTCTCTCCAACTTGCTTTTCTTTTTAATGACTCGGTGATGCCTCCGCTGGATTGATTCTATAAGCAAATCATCAAAAGGGATTTCTAGTTCACTTCTCTGATTCAGTTTTCTAATATGTGGGGTTTGACCTGTAAATTGGGTATCTTTCCCTACAAGAAACTTAACTCCATATGTGCTGATGTTTGAATGTAGAGATGTGCTATATACAAATTATGCAAGGGAATGTGGCTAGATGTAAGATATGTTAAATCAATAACATATGAATAATAAATATAAGTATGGATAGTTGGGTATTGCACATGATTCGCTCAGCAGTCCGGACTATCCTCTGTAGGCTTCTGAGGTAGCTGGTAGCTGAGCTGAACCAGACAGTTATTGAATTGCAGAGGACGGGCTCAGTGACTGCAGAGTAGAATGTTTCAGCAGCTCCTGTGGCAGGTTGAACTTCCTCAGCTGGCGAAGGAAATACAACCTCTGCTGGGCCTTTTGACAATGGAGTCAATGTGAATGTCCTACTTCAGGTCCTGAGAGATGAATAAAAACATCTCTTGCTTCATCTGATTCTCCCTCAGATAGTCTTCGATGGCATTCTGTTGATTTTTACTGTCCATCTGGAGAAAGGCAGGCCCCCGTCACCTACCCACAGAATAACCCACAGTGACTCTGTATCTATCACTACACTGGACCAATGTCCCTTACAAACTTCCACTTTATGTCCTCTTGGCGCTCCTGTTAAAAATAGAGAATATGTGTGTGTTGGGGGCATATGTGTCCACTAAATAGTATTTACCTCATCATTCTACATACAAGAATATTTATGATTTTAAACGACAACAATCAATCAATACAGTGTCTAAAGAAATGCTCCCACCATATCTTCATGCGCCACTGCATGGCTTATGTGGTCCTCCAAGTGAATTGTAATGAGTCATTTTCTTTACTGGTGAAACTGTAGCAGGAACCCCTCATCCAGGCAGATCTGCTCTGCATCAGGCTTGGACCGAAAATGCGTAGAATGCTGTAAAACATGACAAACAAACATTGAAAATCATTATGTAATCTTTCCATTAACATAGAATGATACAAAGTTAATTTGTCACATACGCAGTTATCCAGCAAGACATAGTGAAATGATGCGGTTGCTCAACCAAGTCACTGTGAAGGGTTCTGTGATCAGTATATATCATTAAAAATATCATGTGTGTGTGAGTGTTTTGTGCAGGTAAGTACATATGTGTGAAAGGGACAAAGTGTGTGTATGAGTCGGTGAGATGTTACAACAACAAAATCGCACATTCAGTCAGCATTCATTTTATGTCGGAAGAATATACATATATATAGTGTACTGATTCTTACGACATAAAATGAATGCTGACTGAATAACCTTTTTTTTTTTTTAGTTAATACATAACACCAACTCATATACACACTTCATCCCTCTCACACATATGCACTTACCTGCCCCCCACACACATGATATTTTTAATGATATACACTGATCACAGAACCCTTGCACAGTATCTTGGTTGAGCAAACACATCATTGTCTTGCTAGATAACACAAACACACACATATACACACACACATATATATACACATACATGCATACATTTATATGTTGCTAGCTAAGTAATAACCTGCCTGTGTAAAGTTCAAAACACATACTAAGCATGCTGAACTGTTGTTTATGCATATGCACACAAACGACACACACATTCTTGAAGTTGTCAACGGTTTAAGTCTTCGTAAAGACCAAAGATTTTTTTACTTACCAACACGGCAAACTTCTTTTTAGTGGTTGACAAACAAGGCAAACAATTCGACTTATCTTCTTATCGATGCTTCTTCCTGTTTCAAAATAATAAGAATGTGATGTATTTGGGGCGTGCGTGCTTTTGACGTCACGCTTGGATGTGGGCGGGGTTGGATGTCCACCGCAGGCTGCAGCGAGACGCTCCTCCCTGAAAATAGGCTTATTGGAAGTTACCTAGCTGGGGACTATTTTCAGGCGCTGCGTAATATCATTGCGCCTGCTGCACCCATGGTACGGCAGCAAAGTTCCTTTATTATTAGGCCTAGAAAATCGCAACTTTTAATTTTCTGTCGTTCTTAGTTCACGATGTAACTACAGATGAGTCAAGTTTTAAATAGGAAAAATATAAAAACTCTTTGGTCATTTTTGAGCGAGATGCTAACGGTCTAATCAGATTCAATTATCTATGCTAAGCTACAGCTAAAAGTGCTACCGCCAGACCCGGAGATCGGCTGAATGGATTCAAAAACGGTAAAACTCAACTGTTTAACGCTAGGGGAGTTGGAAAATGAGCCTATTTTCAATAATAGTAGAGTGTACCTTTAACACCATATATGATGTTTTCTCACACACATACATCTGCTTATCTCTCAGCATGAGAAAACGTCTGTTTTCTCGTCTTTTAGTTTTAAAACAGACCGATTCGTGGCACAGCGCGAGTTTGCAAGCGTCATTACAGTGTAAACTGATGGACATATGGACATAGCTACAGGATCATACCTGAAACAGAAAAATTATAAATATTGTAATATCCCCTCCTCACTTCTGAAACTGTAGGCTTCCACACAGACTGGCGCTGCACACACATCAACATATCTCTGCATGAGAAGCGTTTATTAGACGAGGAAGGGCGGGGTCTCAAAATTAAAGATAAAAGATGCAAAATAAGGCCAGCAGGGGTCACTCATTCTTCATTAAATAAATAACAAACAGTTAATTCTGGCGAAATACATAAAACATGAAACAGGTTTGATGCTATATTATTGATTGTTTATGTTGCTAAGGGTGTTGCTCAGTGATACACAGAACCATTGGGTGAAGCGGTCAAAGCCGTGCTGTATCGTGAATAAAACACAGCTGCTGACCAATCAGAATCGAGGAATGGAACTAACCGTTTTATAAGATTCTTTTTATTGGTACTCTTCATATTCATATTAATGTTACTTATACATGAATTATTACCCATTTTATTTAATTTATATTCACATTCCGTAGACATAGTAGGCCTATATTTTTGGTGTTGGTTTTTGCGTGAGAATGTTTCTATGGGGAGACTGTTCTCTGAATTCTTATTTTGTGGTACTAGATGTTCTTTCTAAAAGCTGCATTTACAAGATGATATTTGAAGATTGCTAGCTCTGCTGTTTCTGCTCGCAGGGTATCAAAACCACAACTCGTATCGCTATATTTATCTGACTTTACCTATTGTATTTCACAGGTCGTGCCTACGTGACCTAGTCCTGACCCAGCCTGGGGGGTTGGGTGTATAGCAAGATTTAGATTAGTGACACAATGGATACGTTCGTTTGACATTCATTCATCAGACATAAACATGTTAGTTCTCCTGCCTATATGTGACCCTGGACCACAAAACCTTAAATCGAAAGTCTTAAGTCGCTGGGGTATATTTTTAGCAATAGCCAAAAAAACATTGTATGGGTCAAAATTATCGATTTTTCTTTTATGCCAAAAATCATTAGGATATTAAATAAACATATTTTGTAAATTCCCTACCGTAAATATATAAAAACTTAATTTTTGATTAGTAATATGCATTGCTAAGAACTTCATTTGGACAACTTTAAAGGCGATTTTCTCAGTATTTAGGTTTTTTGCACCCTCAGATTCCAGATCTTCAAATAGCTGTATCTCTGCCAAATAGTGTCATATCCTAACAAACCATACATCAATGGAAAGCTTATTTTCCATTAAGAAAGCACTAATTTATTCAGCTTTCAGATGATGTATAAATCTCAATTTCGAGAAATTGACCCTACTCACCTACTCAATTTATAATTTTTATTTAAATAAATTACAATTTTATTGCAAGACTTTGTTTGCTTGGATCTCATCGCATCAGCCACTTAAATCAAAAGTAAAATTCACACATCCTTCATTAAAAAACCTGTAAGTGATTCATCAGTGTAACTGCTGCATGAAGAAAAAAAAGTGACAAAAACTGTTAAAGGGGTGTTAGTCATCTTTATTTTAGTGCAAGTTGGTCATAAAATTTGAGTGACAGGACACTGTTCTATCTGATCCAGGAACAGTGTTTGGAACATGTGGTCGTAAAACTTGGGATGATAACGACAGGCCCGCTCACAGTCTGGGCAAAAATTCACCTCCAGTATTTGAGGCTGTATCACACGTTCTCCTGAAAAAAAAAAGGATTGATCTATGTGATTTATGAAGTTTAACTGATGTTATTCCTTTGTCTTTTTTACTGGTAAGTATGTTATGGAAGTCCGTTTCTGCCACTGAATAAAAAAAAAAGTAAAGTTAATTGTTTTTTTTTCATCTCACAATTCTGAAAGTTTAAGTCAGAATCGTGGGTAGGCCTGTTGCAATAATCAATATATCGACTTATCGCGCAATATATGTACATGACCTCAATCATTTTTGGTGACGCAATATATCGCTCATTATATTTACTTAAAAATTAATGTCACCATGTTTTGTACATTTCACTTGTGCCTTTGTGTTTTGCAGCTTCTCGTACATAACGTGGTGTAGTCAAGAGGTGCTCGCTCAAATTAAAAAAATGCTTCTACAAACAAAGTTTCATCTGCAGATATGGTCTTGTTTAGGGATCTGTGTCTTTATGCATATGGACATCTGACTGCTAAGTAGTGATTGTGTTTTTCAGCAAGTGTGCGCACCCTTAATTTACAGAGAAAAGATGGTCAGGCAAAAATCTGTAGATGGAAAAAATCTCCATACAAGTTCTTTGTGCATTTTTCTTTTTTTTGTTAGAAAATGTTTATTTAGTATTTCAGGGTTTTTAAGGTATCAAATATTTTGATACTTAATTTACATGATCTAAATATTCTTAAAAATTAAATGTTTGTTGTCATTTGGAAGTGTGTAGGCCTTCTTGCATTATGCTGTTACATTATGATTATGTATTCTTTGGCATAAAATGGTCTTTAAAATGACAATAATATCGCTTATCACAATTATATCTGGGGCAATATATCGCACAACAAAAAGGTTTTATCGTGACAGGCCTAATCTTGGGATAAAAAGTTGCAATTACTTAAATTTTTTTATTCCGTTGCGGAAACAAGCTTTAATGGTACGTTCTACGTCTTATCCCATGACATGTCCTTGCTCCGTTTTTGATTTGGGTAAACATGTTTTGTTTATTGAACTGATCTCCTAAACAAAAATCAAAGTAAAATGTATTCTGAATTTTTGAATTCATGCAGCATGGCTATTAGAGAGAGTGTGATTTGACCGTCTACGGTATATACCTTCTGTCATCCGGTCCCATTTGAGCATGAGGTCAATGGCGTATATGGCTCTGGAGGATGGGTATGCACAGATCCCATATGGAGCAGGGCGGCAGGAAGCTGCTTGGAAGAGCTCTGAAAATGCTTTAAAGATATCCGCCTGCAACAAACAACATTTAAAATGACAACACATAGTGGAGCCTTTTAGATTATACTGAGAGTGCTAACCATAGATGTTTCTCTTTGTATGTGTACAAGATAAGCAAGAAGAAAAAGTGACAACTTTTGAGGTCTGGGACATGTTAAGCAAATGGATACTTTCACATGCTGGACACTATACAGTGACACCCGACTCGGAGGAAACTTAAGCAGGATCATGGGTGTACATGGTGAGATTTAGTTTAGTTTTGTTTAACCTTTAATATTTAAATAAAACGATTAGAGTTATTATAAGATTAAAATTTAAAGGAATATATTTTATATGCATAACAGATTTTTTCCAGCTGCTTTGGTACATCTCTTGATTAACCCTTAACATCTGCAAATTCTAACTTTTTCTATTTATACAAACAGCACAACACAATGGATTACGTGCAAAAGCCTGTAACTTACTCAAAATCCTCTGTTCATCTCTTAAAAATAAGTATTTATGTCAATGAATATATCAGTGCCATCAGTGGCCCTTTTTTCATCGGTCCTTGGCCTTTTCTGCTTCTTCCACTTTTTTGTTTCCCTAGCCTTCTACCACACATCCTTACTTCTCTTCTTTGTCCTGGCTTCGTTAACCCTGTTTGTTTTCTTATTGTTCTTCCATTGTCAGAAAATGTAACACTGTGTTGTGCTCTGACTATATATGCTTGCCAAATTAAGCTTCATGAGATGCACCTCCAAGTTATTATAAAGAACTGGTTCATCATTGGTTGATCTAATGTTTTACATTTCCCTTCACAAGTGGAATTCAAGATTCACCTGCACAAGTCATCAACTCGGGACGTATTTACAAAAGAGTCTAATGGAAATGAATAGAAAACATGCTTGACAGCTAGTTCAACCATTTTGCATTTAATGACTTACACAAAGAACTGAAACCAGTATAATATATTTTGATCAACAAGACATAAGCAATTGACAATGTAGGAAACAGCAGATATTAGTACATAATCATATGCATGAATGCACCAAAGCATTCTCAATTTATTCAAAAGAATAAGAAATTGCTTTTATGATGTGCACAAGTAACTGGATGATGAGGCTGTTAAACAAGTAGTTCTGAGAATTGTCCCGACAAAAACGGTAAAATATATAATATCCATTGTTATTCAAATGTTTGATATTTAAAATTTTTTTTAAGTCTCTTATTCTCACCAAGGCTGTGCTAATTTAATTAAACCGTATTAAAAGTATTGTTTTCTGTATAATTAAACGTATTATACAACTGTGAGGGACATTTTTTACATGTAATCATATTCAAATTAATCGTAAAATCAGTTGATCATAAATGATAACTAACGTTTCACTTTTTTCTGAATAAAAGTATTAATTCCCCCCCCACCAAAAAACCCTAAATGGCTAAATACATTGTTTTATTGTGAAAATAAACTGGAAAATAAAAACGTGATATCTGAGGTGAGAAGCCCTTTAGAAATCTGTGCAGGAATACTGATGATATACACAGCTGAATACGTTTTGGAAAAGGGGAAAAATTTTAACAACATAACCACTGTATGCTCCACTGTATGCTGTTGTGTAGATGGACAGACTGAAAATGAAGTGCATAAAGCCATACCTCAACCTGTTTCCATGGATACTGCGGATACTGGCTCTCAAACATGGGGATAAATTCATCATAGTGAATCTGACCGGAAACAAAACCATCAGTGATCTGAGATCAGCTCTACAGAGCCAAGCATACAGTCTGAGCAGAGTTTTTGTACCTGTTTGAGCTGCACATCAGCAGCGTAGTTCATCACAGTGTAGTGCTTCTGATAGTCATCAAAGTGATCCAGCGAGAAAGGTCTGGAGAGAAAGACAAGCATCTTAATAGTTAGGTATGCAGACATGGTGTTATATGCTCAATGTAAAAGCATAGAAACAAGTTTGCTAATATGATGACAATTTCCAAGTGTTAGGTCTCAGTGTTGGAGAATAATTAATAAAAAAAAAAATCTTTATTCTTTCCCATTCTCATACAAGCTAAATTCTTGTTAGCAATAAACTTGATTTATATAACAAAACATGCTTAGCATCAGGATATTCATTGCGGTCATCTCCCTAACTTCAGCTGACCTGGATTCCCACAGTTTTTCAATTATTTCAACTGTGACCAAGTATATTATTGCATGACATTTATATTATTTGCTCAGGATAAAGGGTTTTCGGGTATGTCTACAGGATGTAGATAATGTTTACTTGTTAGCAAAACGCAGCCAGAAGACATCATATGAATAAAGACGCAGAGGTTCCACAGAGCGCAGCAGCACCATGTAGCGGATGTCAAACTTCACCATGCCCACCTCCTCTCTGTGAAACAGCACAGGGTCCTCCAAGTACTTACTCACCACCTGAGAGAGACACAAACAGGTTAAGTCCTGATGGGTATGAAGGAACATATCTAATGTCATCTGATATTATTGCTTTTGCAATTTTGCACAGGCATTGTAGAAAGAAAATTCTCATATAATATTCATTTTTAGAAGCTTATTCGCATTTACTGTGTATTCCACTGTAAAGTTTCTTCTTCTGATGTATTGTTATATGAATACTAAACTGAAAGGTATGTTCTGAGAAAATGTCACAATGACCTGCTTGTCCTTGCTTGCGGAGGAAAACAGGATAACATGAGAAAGCTGGGAGGATGCTACATGACAAATGAAACATATCAAGTGTTTATCTCGCTTTTTTAACTATATATGGCAAAATTAGGGAGACTGCTTGTGAAAACAATGGGCCAAATCAGAGAAGCATGCTCACTTGTCTTGGTCACACATTCGGCAGGACTCACTGCTGTACTGTTTGACCTTCTTGCAAGAATAATCATTTTAAAAGGCTCTGTCTCTGACCGTGTAAGACCGTCAAAAACGATTTTTCCCACAACAACATATACAGCAAAAACACACTTCAGACACATACATTAACAGTCACAGTAATAATGTGAAATATAATCACAATTTAAACTGTTGTCTTTTTAAATATATTTTAATATGCAATTTGTTCTTGTGATGTCAAAGCTGAATCATTACTCCAGTCTCCAGTGTCACATGATCCTTCAGAAATCATTCTAATATGCTGATTTGGTGCTCAAGAAACATTCTGATCTGCCTTTTATTAACCATTTCCAGGAACCAAAGGGTTCCCCAGGGACATATATTTCATATGTCTTCTTTTACTCTTTTAATCTTTTACTTTCAACATCCCCAACACCATTCACTGTTCTCAATTGGAAATCACCTTAAATCAGAGTCACTGTCACAGGCCCTTCAATATGCTAATGGCTTTCATAATAACCAAATTACTTTCTACAATTGTTTAATATATGTTAGACAAAAATATTCCAATATGCATATACTAAATCTAAGAAGATACTTTAATAGGAAAACATCGTAACACTGCACAATAAGGTTTGTAAAGGGCGATGCCATTTTGATGTAAACAAAAGAAGTGCTTTAAAATTATGTAAGAAATACTTTAAACATGCTGTAAGAAGTGCTGTTCACTTGAAGAAATGATTGGATGTTCTTGGCTTGGTTTAAAAGTTACTATGTATTTGACTTCCTTTGCTTAAAATTACGCAAAGCAAAAACAATTACGACAAAGACTACTGAGAACAAAAATTAACACGAGAAGGTGGACACAATGTAGTCGACAAAGGAATTACTTATTTTATAAAAGGAATAGCATAGCACAAAATTATGTAGTTATGTGTTTTACATTAAAGGTGCAGTAGTTAGTACTTCTTTCTTCCTCGAGTCTGTGTGAGGAGGTTGCTTTATCTCCATGTTTTGTTTCAGTGCCTTGGACATATAGTCTGCCTGAAGGGACTGTTAACTGTTTTGCAAAGAATGTGACTGAGACCAAGCCAATAGACTTTAATCAGGGCAGCTGAAGATTATTTTTTTGACAGGAATGAAGTACAGTGTGTTCAATGGATTGTTCTGTTTTTTAAAAGAATAGTTCACCCAGAAATGAAAATTTGCTTTAAATTTACTCACCCTCGGGCTATCCAAGATGTAGATGAGTTTGTTTCTTCATCAAAACAGATTTGGACAAATTTAGCATTACATCACAAATTAATCCTCTGCAGTGAATGGGTGCCGTCAGAATGAGTCCAAACAGCTGATAAAAACATCACAGTAATCCACACAACTCCATTCCAACAATTAATGTATTGTGCTTATAAGAAACAAATCCATAATTAAGGCATTTTAACTTTAAAGCTTTGCTTCTGGCCAAAATACCATAATCCATAATAACCCTTAATTTAGTGTTTAAAAAATAGCATCAAAATCCACCAACATATTTGTTTAGAACTGTTTTCACTTGTAAACAGTGTTTGATATGTGCATATTTCTCTCCTGATTCAGACTAGATGCTTTTTTCCACTGGAGAAAGCAATATTATGGATAGAGGAAGTAACAATTTTAAGGGTAACACTTTACTTGAAGGGGTGTGCATAAGACTGACATGACACCTTCATAATCATGACATGACACATGTCATGAATATGAAGGTTTTTTATGCATGTTTATGACAACTGTTATTAAGTGTCATTTGCTCAGTTATGTAATTTTTAATGCAAAGATGACATTGTTTGAGATGTCTTTGTTATGGGCTATGGTTAGGGGTAAGGGTAGGGGTAGGGTTAGGTAAACTAATGTCATATTTGCATTAAAAATGACAACTGAGCGAATGACACTTAATGACAGTTGTCATAAACATGCATAAAACCTCCTTCATCATGTCATGATTATGAAGGTGTCATGTCAGTCTTATGCACACCTCTTCAAGTAAAGTGTAACCATTTTAAGTTAAAAATTTCTTAATGATGGATTTGTTTTTTACTTTTCACTCCACAAGATGTTAATTGACAGACTGCACTGTAGTCATGTGGATTACTGTGATGTTTTTATCAGCTGTTTGAACTCTCATTGTGATGGCACCCATGTGATGAAATGCTAAACTTTTCCAAATCTGTTCTGATGAAGAAACTGTAGAAGATTTTTATTAATCAATATATTAATCAATCAAGTATAATCAAAGTGAATATAGTCATGTTTGCATTCTACTATTATGATCGTGTTTCTTGTATGTAAGGAGGCCTGCAGGAGAGTAATCAAGTTATTCTACTATTATGATCATATGTTTCCTGTTTGTATGGAGGACTGCAGGAGAATAAAATGTGTTCATTGTAAGGGAGTAGAAGGACTGTGTATGAAATGTATTAAACACACCTTGAGGAAAAACTATATAAAGAGTGTGCAGACACTCATGTTTGTCAGCAACTGCATGCAATGTAAGATATTACATTAAGACATAGAGGTCTGGGTGGGGCGGATGCATTAAATACATGAATTTTTTCCAGAATTTCCATGTGTGTTTTCCCCCCCATAATTAATCACACCAAATTAATGTCTTAAATCAACAGCCCTATTGACAAACATTATACTAGGATGACCATACGTCCTCTTTTCCACAGACATGTCCTAGCCAGGATTTATATATTGCCCAAAATGTTCAGTTTTGGCTTAGCTATCGTTGATGTGCTCTTTACAGTCCTCATACATTATATATGTACGGATATTTGCACTGTTTTAACCGTTCTCTGTAGATTCCATCTTCTTGCACACCATGACTGATTGATTATGTACTGTGAGAATATAAACCTGCTTTCAGTTCTCAATTAAATAGCAAAGTACTGGCTGTGTGTATTGTGCATACCACTTCTTCCCCTCCCTGGTCCTTATCCATGTCTGGAGACATAACATATCCCTTGGTACTCTGTATCCCTGAACATTCTTTACCTTGAAGGGGTGGATTATCAGATCTACGGCCACTTCCACTTATATGCTTTCAATATATATCTTCAATACATATTTAATCAAGTTAATAATCAGTATTTAACCAATTAGATTTAATTGATTGAATGATGTTTGACTATTAGTTATAACTTTAATCCACATTAGTACTCTAAGCCTTACTAGCCTGTGGTGTAATCCCCTTTGTTCCCTGTGGAGTTTTCAGGACAGATAGATAAGTATCTATTTGATCTTGTCATTCAAGACATAAAAAGAATGAGGTGTAGTATCTGTTCATTAAAGCATGCAGTGATTAAAGAGTTATCTTCCTGTTGAAGACGTAAGAAATCAATAGTAGATCTTCACTTCAGACCTGACAAAAGTGATCAAAAGGAGATTGTTTTCTTATTCAATGTATCATTTAAAAACAGCCAGATTTATCATTTCTACATAAACTTATCATTGAAAGCCTGTAATGTACACGAAGTTTCAAAAGTGTGGGGTCACATTTCTTTTAAAGAAATTAATACTTTTATTCATCAAGAAAGCATTAAATAAAGACATTTATAATGTTACAAAAGTTTTCTATTATTTCAAATTAATTTCAAACTTTCTATTCAAAGAATCCTGAAAAATGTTTCACTGTTTCCACAAAAATCAATGTTATTTACATTGATAATAATAATAATAATACATTTTAGATACATATTTTAAAACATAAAAACAGCTATTTTCAATTGTAATAACATTCCATAATATTTCAAATTTAATAGTATTTAATGAACAACTGCAGTGTCGTATCAAATTCCATAGATCAAATTCCTATATGTATATATTGCTATACGAAAAGTGACAATAATGATCTCTCTTATGCTAGCCTATGTGATAAAGACAGAGAGAAAATGGACTGTAGTGACCTGGTGAACGGCACTGACCCTATAACAGGGAATCAAACGAGATAAAAAAGGAAATTGTTCATGAAAAGGCTAGGCATAAAAAGGAAAAAAGATAATGAAGGCATCTATAGACAAAGTTTGATTTTTTATGATGAAGAAATATATGGATAAACAGGAAAAGAATGTGGAGAATTAATTAGAAGTTGTTGTACAGTTGAGTACAAAAAAAGTTGAGTGACATGTGGATTGCCGCTGCTGTCAACACCGTCGAGCTAGGTGGGCGTGGTTTCAGCAACCAGCTCCCGTTTTTTTGCCCATTTTCGATTATACGGGAGTGACGCGCTGCCAAGATTGTGATGGCCGGCTCTGCCCACTTTAAGCTTTAAAAACGCTCTTCAGGAACCTACGGGTGACATCATGGACACTACGTCCATGATTTTATACAGTCTGTGTGGCACAAATCAAAAAATACTACTGACCTTAATGTGTATCAGTCATTCCTCTATTCATTCTCTGATAATGTCTCCACTGCTAAAAGGACATACTATCATAACAAAATTAACAATTCATCTAACTCTTGCATGCTCTTTAAAACATTTTCCTCCCTCCTTTGTCCTCCCCCTCCCCCTCCTTCATCAACTCTAACAGCTGACGACTTTGCCCCATTCTTCATTAATAAAATTAAAACCATCAGTGCACAATTTTCCACACCACAATCTGTCAAGCACATCTTACCAGCAAACATACACTCGTTCACATCCTTCTCTTCACTCTCTGAGGCAGAAGTCTCCAAACTCATCCTTTCTAATCATCCTACTACTTGTCTGCTTGATCCTATTCCATCTCATCTTCTTCAAGCAATTTCTCCTGCAGTTGTACCTACACTCACTCACATCATTACACATCCCTTCACACTGGGGTTTTTTTCCTCATTATTTAGACAGGCTTGTATAACCCCACTACTTAAAGGTGTCATATGATGTTGCTAAAAAGAACATTATTTGGTGTATTTGGTGTAATGAAATGTGTTTATGCAGTTTAAGGTTAAATCTTCAATACTTATCTTGCTGGATCTGTCCACTGCTTTTGACACGGTTAACCAGCAGATCCTCCTGCCAACCCTATTGGCAAAGGGCATCTTAGGAACCACACTCCAGTGGTTTGAGTCTCATCTCTCAGATAGGTCCTTCAAGATATCTTGGAGAGGTGAGGTGTCCAAGTCACAACATCTAACTACTGGGGTGCATACCACCACCTAAATTCATTATTTCAGATTTATGTGGCCTCTAAAGCTTGCGTTCTGTAAGTGAACGTCGCTTTATTGTGCCATCCCAAAGAGGCACAAAATCACTTTCACAGACTTTTAAATTAAATGTTACCTCCTGGTGGAATGACATGCCCAACTCAGTCCGAGCAGTTCATCTTCAAGAATCGGCTAAAAACACATCTATTCCATCTTTATTTGACCCTCTAACTCTAGCACTCTCTATTCTAATTCTATTCTTTATAAAAATAAAAATAAAACTTTTAGACTTGCACTCTATTTGATGATTCAGACACTATATGTTTTTGATTCAGAATAATTCGGTAACAAGTTTGACTGATTCATTAAAAGAAAAAAGAAAAAACAATTGAACGATGTGTTCACACTATACGTCATAAATGTCAAATGTATTTTGGAAAAGACATTTATATATTCTGGGTAGCGTATTCAGGGTGTCTGTATTTAATATCTGTCCTTTCACAACATTACATTTATATTAAAATGTACCTGAAAGCTGTGGTGCTCTGAAAATTACTTCAGGCTCTGTTACACATGTATTTTTTTGTGCATACCTCCATTCTCCAAGTCTTGCAGTGGCCACAGCACTGAGTAAGCGATCTGTTGTGGAGCGTAGAACAGAGGAGCCATACAGCAAGTTGGCTGGGAAGAGTGCTGAACCTGAGATCCAAATTCATCCATGATGTACCACACAGGAACCTTTTCTTCTGCAGACTGCAACATCGTCATTTTCATCAAACCAAATTCAGCACCAACATCATATCTCATAATGCACACTGGCATATTAAAGGAATAGTTCACCCAAAGATGATAATTTGCTGAAAATGCACTCTGCCTCAGATCATCCAAGATGTAGATGAGTTTCTTCGTTAGAACAGATTTAGAGAAATTTGCCATTACATCACTTGCTCACCATTGGATCCTCTGCAGTGAATGGGTGCCGTCAGAATGAAAGTCTAAACCTGATAAAAACATTACAATAATCCACACCACTCCAGTGTGCGTTTCTAAGAAACAAAACCATTGTTACAGCATTTTAACGTGAAACCATCCCTTTTGGCTAAAATACCAGTACATAATTCATAATAACACTTCCTCCAGTGAAACCAAGTCTAAAAAAGTCTACCCCCTATTGTCCTCTCACATCAAAATCCATTGATATATTTGTTGAAAAATGTTTGACTGTTTTCTATTGTAAACAGTGCTGAATCTGTGCACATTTCTGTCCTAGATGAGATTACTTTTTCACTGGACAAAGCAATATTATGGATAAAAGACTCAGTATTTTCCGTATTTTAGATGGAAGCAATGGTTTGAAGTTAGAAATGCCTTGATGAATCTGTTCATTTCAAACACACAGCTTTTCACTTCACAAGATGTTAACTGATGGATTGTAGTTGTGTGGATTACTTGTGGAGTATTGTGATGTTTTTATCAGCTGTTTGGACTCTCATTCTGACGGCACCCATTCCCTGCAGAGGATCCACTTGTGTGAGATGTCATGCTATATTTCTCCACATGTGTTCTGATGAATAAACTAATTTACATCTTGGATGGCATGACAATGAGTACATTTTCAGCAAATATTTATTTTGGGGTGAAACATTCCTTTAATATGATTTTCTCCTTTTCTTACCCCCTGGGAAAGCTGATAGGTTTGATTGTATTTCCACATGTTGTCCAGGACCAGATCCACGATGTCTGGATCAGGAGCCTCTCCGTGAAAAGGCAAACCCATCAGACTGGCCATCCGGATCAGCAGGCCAGGAATCTCCAGCAGCTGCTGCCGGGCGCTTTCCACCCGATACGTCCATGCGTGATCTACAAGAAATACACTACAAACCAAAAGAGAGAAAAATTACATATATTTTTCACATATTTTTGAACATGTACCATGGTATATATATATATAGACACCTGTCTATATAAGACCTTACAGCTCACAGTGCATGTCAGAGCAAATGAGAATCATGAGGCATTTTGATTTTGGCTGTTTTGTGGAAAAACATTGATCTCCTATTGCTTATTAGACTCTAGGTATAAAGTATCTTTCATGTGCCTATGTCAAACAGTAAATTAATAAACTTTTCAGATTTTTCAATTTTAGATTGCTGTGTAGTATCATCTAGATTTTCAGCATTAAATTATATCATGGGTGCCGTCAGAATGAGAGTTCGAACAGCTGATCTGAGCATATTTAAGCGATGGACTGTTTGGATTACTTGTGGGTTATTGTGATGTTTTTATCAGCTGTTTGGACTCTCATTGTGACGGCACCCAATCACTGCAGAGGATCCATTGGTGAGCAAAAGATGTAAAGCTACATTTCTCCAAATCTGTTCCGATGAAGTAACAAACTCAACTTGAGCTTGAGGTAGAGTACATTTTCAGCATATTTTCATTTTAGTTAACTATTCCTTTAATAGTTGTCTTGAATGATTCCTGAGGGATTTTACCAGCTCGTCTCTGACTCTGCACCTTTCCATGTCTGTCTATAAACACCGCCTGCTACCTCAGCAAGCCAGCGCACATCTGCAGGGACTTCTGGGATCCATTCCCAAAACCTTTCAAACACAAACAATGCTGTAATTAAAAACTCATCCGGATACAACATTGTGACATCCACACAAATATTTACAGTTGTGCTGCTTAATGTTTTTTTGCAAACTATAATACATTTTTTCAGGATTCCTTGACTAGAAAGTTCAAAAGAACAGCATTTATTTGAAATATTAATAGTTTGTAACATTATAAATGTCTTTACTGTCACTTTTGAATAATTGAATGCAACCTTGCTAAACAGAAGGTTTAACATTAACATTTAAAAGTCGTGGCCTAATGGTTAGAGAGTCGGACTCGTAACCCAAAGTTGCGGGTTCGAGTCTCGTACCGGCAGGGATTGTAGGTGGGGGGAGTGAACGTACACCTTCCACCTTCAATACCACGACTGAGGTGCCCTTGAGCAAGGCACCGAACCCCCAACTGCTCCCCGGGCACCGCAGCATAAATGGCTGCCCACTGCTCCGGGTGTGTGTTCACGGTATGTGTGTGTTCACTGCTCTGTGTGTGCACTTTGGATGGGATAAATGCAGAGCACTAATTCCGAGTATGGGTCACCATACTTGGCCACATGTCACGTCACTTATAAATATTACTGACCCCAAACTTTTGAATAGTAGTGTATTAAAAGAGATGAGCGAATGTTAAATGATGATATTGACCTCTGAGCTGCAGAGTACACTGACTCCACTGGCAGCGTGTACGGCATCAGCATGTAGGACGCCACACGCAGTGGCAGCAAACCAGTCACCTGAGCCAGCAGACCGTGCTTTTCTCTGCAGGCGTCGCAAAAAACTGCAAACACATGCACATAGTAGAGTATGAAATAGTCACATTATAAAGTACATTCATCAGCTTTAAAAGTACATTTAAGTATAACTCTACCTTTCTTAATGGGGGTTGGCAGGTTATTGACAAGCTGCTCGTCCAACCACCAGTGGTGTTTTCTCAAGAGGCGGAGTCTCCGCAGCACCCACTCTTTTCTGGTTTCCATCACGACTGGATTACTATTGCCTGGGCAGCAGCAGGTGGGCGTGGTCTGAATCAGAGCCATGTCTGCTCTTGGACATGCCGCCTGTAGCAAATCTATAAAGAGACATGACCGTTATCTTCTAAACCACAGCACATATCACATTTGGCATAACGCATGAATGAACATTAGAGATAAAGTGACATGAAAGATAAAAAGTGCTCACTGTTTTCCTGGAGAAATCGGAGGGCGTCTTTATATCCACTTTGACACATTTCTGCCAGCACCTGCCAATCATATGCACAGACATTTAATTGAAAGATATGATTTAATTAGTTATTGTGTTGTGCTGACCTTCCTGGTCAGAAAAGACCGGCGTTTTTAAAAATCTCTTATTATACTATATTATCACCAAATCTTGGATTACATTTTTATGTCAACATGTTTTCTTTCAGTTAGCACAGGTTTGTATGCCTTTTTTTGGAACTGATAGCTCATAGGCCTCATTGATCTTGAGTTTATGCACCTCGGTTTTTGAGTGAAAAAAGCATTATTTGTGGACAATTTTGGCAATGTTCACACAAAAACTGAAGTGCATTAGCTCAGATCAGTGAAACATATTATATGACTGGAAAAAATCATGACTGAAACACAACATGAGGGTTAAATGACGCTTAGATAACTATGAACATGAGTGACTCATATTAAATAGGTCAAATACTATAGGGATTTTCATACTACACTTTAAATCATTTAAAACCAAATAGAAATGACAGAAATTATCACGACAAGTTAAAAGGATGAAAACTAAGATGTTGTTATCCACCTTATTTTTCAACATGGAAGTAAGAAGTTTTCTGTGAATGTGCGAGACTTCCGGTTCATTAGCCGCTGTAGGGAAATAATGAGAAGAAGAATAAATGGTAAAACTGTTTGCACTACAAACCAGTGTGTTCATAATTAAGATAATACATTCAAATAATACGGTAAGACACACCAGTTTGCAATATCAAGCAGCAAAACAAGCTGTTTTGTACAGCTAAATATAGCTGGAAGTGGATGAGACCGGAAGCCGGACACATAAAATTGACAAATGGCCGCACCCGCTCTTACGGGAAAAATAAGGTAGATAAAACAAATGAAATTATCTGAAAGATCCGTCAAGTGAGATCCTAATCTGACAGCAAATAATTCAGTTTGAAGGGCTTAAGGACAGACAAATAAACATGAGGCATTTAACGGCAGGCTTCTCAAAGGCAAAATAAAGACAGTGATTGTGTAACTGCACTGCAGCTCATGCATACCACTCTTACTTCACTTAGGCATGTGAATGTGTGTGTGTGTGTGTGTGTGTGTTTGGTGTTCTTACTTTAGGCTCTGGGGGAAACAAAGCTTTGCTCAGTCTGTACATGTTGTCTAGATTGACTTGTATGCTGGTGTTTGTGAAACGCAGTTCGTGGAAGCTGGTGGAATTGTCTTTTGGACAGATGTCACTCTCTCCTGAGAATGGAGAAACGGTGATGGTGTTCTTCATCTCAGACTGGGGCAGATTATCACTGATCCCACCATCCACATAACGCTGATGAGAAAGAAAAAGGGAGAAATATGTACTTTTAAGTTTCACTGATAATTGAGAATGAAGTAAAAATTACATTATTATAATTATATTACATGATTATATTATCTATCTATCTATCTATCTATCTATCTATCTATCTATCTATCTATCTATCTATCTATCTTCTTACATGTATTTTATGTAGGTTTATATATATAAAACAAATATTACATGCAGTCTCTATTAATATACAATATAATAGCTTAAAATAATTTTAGCATAGTATGTCAAGATTACCCACAAACATTTACTTTGCCTCTCTTCTACTGTTCTTTTCAAGTTTCAAAGGCACACAAATGTTTTTAAATAAAAGAGCTTAAAGACCCACTTTTTTCATTTGTAATTTTTAAATATTAAATTTATAATATTTAAAAATATATAACCACACATCCATCTTAAACCATCCGGCCTTTCTAGTGATTAAATGATAGCTAGCCAGACAGCAATACTTTCTTGATCCCTGAAGGATGGGAATGTATTGTTTGTAATGAGTCAATTGGGAATTGCAGGCTATTGCAAATGACAGAGTGGCTCAGTTGAGGGTGGGCTGATTCAGGACTGACCAGCAGTAAGTGGTGGTGTGATCAGACCAAAAGACTTGCATAACAGCCTTTATTTGTCCTTTAATAGGTCAACTTCACAGCCAAACTCTCCTCAATGAATTACTAGTCACAGCTTAATCTACTTAAAGTTTTGATAGATTCATTAATCTGGGTTAATTTTTCAATGCAAGCTATGATTAGTAACTGGTATGTATATGAATACAGTATCATCTGTATTACCGAATAAAGTTGAGGAACGTAAAGAAACAATTATTCCATGTAATAACCAAATAATGAACAGCACTGGGTTGTAAATGTTCATACAAACAGAGCTGAACGTTTATTCGAACTGTTTGGCCTCTCAGCTATTTCTATACTGCACACTGATGTCTCCTCCCCTTTCTAAAGAACAAGTACACAATGTACAGGCTATGGGGATGAGGCTGGGTTTATTCAGACACATTGAGTAACAGTTCTTCAAGAAAATCTTGATCAAAACCATAAGCATATTTAATTCTCTTATTGAGGCCAGTGTTAATTCAGTGTGCCCCAGTGACTGAATTCTTTGAAGTAAGTGCAATGAACTCTTGTTGCAATGTCCTAATTCTCCCATGTGAAATAAATCCAACTTTGCAGCCGTGTCTCCTCATACAATGCCTCTTGGAATGGCTCAGGTTAAAAAATGACATCACATCAGTAAAGTTATGAACTTTAATATTTACCACACCACGGAAGGCAGGAGGGATTAAACCACAATATACAGGAATGAAACAGCTGCAAATAAGAGCCTGGAAATGAAGAAAAAATATCAAGTGAAAACAGAGAGAGAAAGTGAAGATACAGTGTTATTTTAGTATTATTTATATAGTATTACAGTTTTTATTAATATTTAATAGTAATTAGTTATTAGTATTTATTATTATTATATATATATATTTTTTCATTTTAGTTTATGTTTAGCTATGTGTAGTTATGTGTATATTTTGTTATGTGCTATTGTTATTTTTTATTACTTTTTAAAAATATTTCTATTTAGCTTTCATTTATTTTTCTTTCAGTTTTAGCCATTTTAGTATTTCAACTTAAACATATATTTTTATTCAGTTAGTTGCCCAATCAACACTTCTAATTTTCATTTAAGTTTTTTATTTGATTTTTTTCATTGAATATGTTTTATTTGATTTGATTTCTGCCTTATTTCAATTAACAAAACACTATTTTCAATAGATTCTTTTTAATAAATAACTTAGTTAACAACAACAACAACACTGAGCTAAAGCAAACAGTAAATCTGCAGGTATTTTAAATTGACCTTATTTTTAAGGAACATTTATCAGAAGACAGAGAATTATTGTGATATGTCATGTTATGGCCCCATTTAATCATTTTCATGTAGATAAAGGTATATAAAAGTGGGTTATCAGAGTAATATAAAGTGGTGACCTCAAATTCTGAGTTGTTTCTATGGTAACGAAATTCTCTAACCTGGATGAGTTCGTCTTTGGAGCTGAAGTCTGACACCAGAACGTTTTGCCCGTCCATGACGCGTGTGAGGGACACACACAGTCGACCAGAGGCCAGCGTGTGTGCATTGGACGGCAGGTCGCGATACAAGCCTCCACGTATCACCTTGACTATGTTGAATGTTGGGTGCAAAGGGCCCAGATTACGCTTCCGTGCCTCCTTGGCAACATTAATAACATCT